AAAGCCCAGACAGTGTTTGAGTCAGATTTATGCGCTTGGCTCCATTCTATTTCAAACAGTAGTGCTTTCATTTCGGAACAATTCCTTTTCCGTACGTTCTCTCCCGTTCGGTTCGAATCACGGGTAAAGAAAAAGGACAGTACTTCCGATCACTTCAAATCCTAGGCATTACTTGCATTCTTGTATCAAAGCACTAGTTTAAATTACTGTTGACTGAAGTCTCGTAGCCTACGCTAAGACTTCCGCTATCTGAAATCTCGAAGCAATTGCTTGAATTTCCGTTGCCTGGGGTTTATCGGACATCTGAACGCCTTAGACCTTGTTTTGGTTGTGTCTGTCTCTGGTTGTCAACCTTGTGAAGATAATTATATCGTCAACTCTGACGCATGGGCAAGGGAAATGTAGAAGTGCACGAACCAACAATCCCGCGGGACGAAAAATTATCCGCAGTACGGGGATTGATCCCCCAATCGCCACCTCTCGAGGCGAGCGCCTGAACCCCTCGGCCATCACCATAAACAGGAGCACCCCAAAGTATATTGGGTGTGTTAGCCCCATACAAGGGGGATGTGTCGGATCTTGCCCGGAACATAGTGCACTATGAGTTCCATACGCATCAACGCCACAGCCAGAGCGGACAAACGCGTAATATGTATTAACTATCGACAGGCAGCTAGTAGTAGGCTTTGGGATAAGGTGAATCCATACTAGTGGCACAGATAGTAGTCAAAAGCCCATACACACGCGTTTCGTCGATATTCTGCCATTTCTCTAAGTTCGAAGTTAATTTCTAAGGAAACTGAAAAGTGAAAATTTCTAAATTAGTGTGTCTACCAGACAACAGACAAATAATGCTGGGGACCCACTGAGAAGCCGTAACCCTAGCAGCTGTGTCATGCAGCGGCGGAGTATGGCGAAACAAGGTTGTATGGGTTTTTGGCTACTGCCTGTGCTGTCAGTATGGAATAATCTTACCTTAAAGCAAACTAAAATGTTTATATACCAGTGCGCAATGTCCACTACCTAAATTAGACTAGCTTAAGATTTACATGGGCCAAACCCTACCAGACTAAAAAATAAATATATAATTTTTATAAAAGACCCGTCAGGGTCCCATCAAACCAAGTAAAAATAAACTTTCATTTGAATTTTAGACGAGGTTGGCAGAATCTGTACAAAATTCAATTCATAGTTTCTGAATCAGTAGTCCGTCAAGGAAAATGATGAGCGAACAGTGAAAAAACTCCGGTCAAGAATTTAAAAATGACTGGACTACATTTGCAGGGGAAAAAAACTGTCGCTCATAATAAGACAAAACTGCAAGCAGGACTGACTTATATGTGGCGGCGTATTGTGTATTATAACCGGACATCGTCAAGGCAAAATAAGTGTCAGCCTTAAGGGGTACGTATGCGGTTCAGACAGGACTGGCCTGCATGTGGTAACGTATAAGGGATGTAAAACGGATGTCGTCAGGGCAGAATTGATACGTCGGGTCAGTCAGTCAGTGTATTTGAGGGAAATAGGCTTACGCCTTTGAACTCCCTATTTGTACATAGAAAATCGATAAACAAGCAAAAATGTGAAGAATTTACAGCATTAAGTGAGTGCATACATTGATCCACATATGTCACTAGTCACATGGTTAAAAAGTCACATAGTCCGCTTGTTGCTGCAGCATATATCTGTCAGGGCGACATTTAAATGTCTCCACAGATTGAGACATAACAACCGTCTCAGGCAGGTTATTCCACGGTTCCACGACACGGTTGGAGAAGAAATATTTTCTCACATGCAGTCTACCCTGTGGCATACGTAGCTTGAAGGGATGTCCCCGGAGGTGAGTTGTAGTGGCGAGTTGGAAAAAGTCATCGCACCGAAGTGCACAATCCAAGCCGCGCACGATACGGAAAGTTTGTATCATGTCTCCGCGCAACTGCCTATAACTCAGAGGATAGAGATTAAGGTTAGTTTAGCGGATCTCGTATGGCAGTGCACTTTGACCTCTTACTAATTTTCTGGCTCGCCTCTGCACCCTTTCGAGCAGATCGTAATCCTGATGCGTCCACGGTCTCCAGGCCTGAATTGCATGTTCGAGATGGGGCCTTATAAACGTGCCGAATACTTTGGTGAAGCAGTCTTCATCGAAACTGCGAATGCCCGCTTGATGGCATATAGCATTGAGGTTGCGGCCTTGGCCGCCTTACAGCATTGTGTAGAAGGCTTTAGGCTGTCTGCAACCCAAACTCCGAGATCTTTCTGAGTTTCTGCTTCTCGGAGTGGCATTCCGTTCAGATGGTATTGCCGCGTACTAGGACTCTGATTTCCGAGGCGCAGAATGGTACATTTGTTCAAATTGAAGGACAAGAGCCATCTGCGGGACCACTCGTCCAACCGACAAAGATTTTCTTGGAAGTTGGTCTCATCGGCAGCATTCTGGATGACTTTCCAGATTTTTATGTCATCCGCAAACATGGCACAATCACAGTCCAACTCATCTACGCAATCATTGATGAACAAGAGAAAGAGAGTTGGTCCGAGCACCGAGCCTTGTGGGACCCCACTCTCTATGAATGTGCACCTTGATTGCTGTTGTTCTACGCAGACAATTTGGGAGCGGCCGACAAGGAAATTTTCGATCCAGTTGAGAAGTTTGCCACCGATGCCCATAATTCTCAAATTGTGTAGGAGACGCTGGTGCGGAACACTGTCAAACGCCTTCCGAAAATCAATATAGGCAACATGCACGGTGTGTTTTGCGTCCAGTGCTCGTGTCCAACTTTGCATTGTGTATAGCAAGTTCGTAACACATGATCTTCCCCTACGAAAACCATATTGTGTATTGGACAAGAGGTTGTGGCTTTCTATATAAGCCATCAACTCCTTTTTGATGGTTATCTCCATCACTTTGCAGCAGATTGATGTCGGACTGACGGGTCTGTATTTTGTCGCCTGAGCACGATACCGCTTTTGTAATAGGGTGTAATGTGGGCCGTCTTCCAGTCTGTGGGAAGAATTCCAGCATCAAACGATTTTTGGCACAGAAAGGATAGTGGCTTGGCCAGCTGTTGGGCAAGCTCAAAGAGCAGCTTTGCTGGGATCTCGTCCGGACCGGGAGATTTACATTCCTTCAAGCTTTTCAGTTCTTCCAAAATCGATTCTTCTCGAAACACAATATTTTCGATAGTGGGATCTCTCGTGTTCTCAGAATTAGATGGGGTAAAGTCCGCTTCTCTTGTGAAAACGGATCGGAAAAATTGAGAAAATTGCTCAGCCTTATTTGTACTGTCCGATATCTCCAAGCCGTCAGCACCCCTCATAACAGCAATGGGATTCCTGTTACGAGTGCTTTTCCGCAAATAGCTGTAGAGCAATTTCGGATTTTTAACGGCTCGGTGGAGCAAATTACTCTCAAAATCCCGTCGCCTCCTGAAAATCAGGCTTTTCACCTTATTTCTTTGAATTTTGTATTCTGTAAACGCTGCATTATTGTTGTTCTCGCGATATTTGTTCCATAACCTACCTTTCTTGTTGATCTCCCTTTTGAGTTCTCGTGTAAGCCACTGAAGGCGGTTGGATGTCGTAGACTTTGATAAGGGACAGTGGTTCTTCATTAGATGCAGTAAACGATCTTCGAATAAATTCCAGTCCTCGTTAACGTTTCCGGAGAAGAGAACATCCCAGTCTATTTGTGATGCCTCAGCTCTCATTTGGCGAAAGTCCCCTTTACATATATTTTGCCTCGTATTGTCTTTTGTACACGGTTCAGAATACAGCAAGTACTCGCATAAAAACACTGCATGATCACTTCGACCGAGCGGGGGGTGAGAGGAACCCAGACGCTATGGGTCACAGTCCGCTTTGAACCCAGCCACGGAGTGGGAGAGGAAGGTACGACCAAACTACTAGTATAAGACGAATACAGAGTATTCCGCCGTGAGCGTCGACAGACCGCATGAGGTCGAAATGAGGAGATGACATAAAGAACCGCGAAAATCATCGATATGGTAGAAGTGTGTTAGCAGTGGACTTAGCGGCTAATTCAAAACAGGGGGTTGTAAAGACATAAATGAGATTTTCTATTGCATATTTAAATCTTTCAGGTCTCTCAGTGACTGGAAATACCGACCGAGAAAACTCTCGTGGAACTTTAAATCAGCAGTGGGAGCAGACGCCAACGTAATTTTCGCGCAAGTGATCAAAATCTGTACTGCATCACCTTATATGTTCCTCTCCCAACTAATCAGTCTTTATCGCTTTGAAACGCGTAAGCATGCGGCTCTTTTTCCATCATTTGCAATTTTTCTTGCGGGTTCGCCCTCATCAGATCAGGAGCGTTACACCCATCAAAATCCCGCGGATAGCCAACAAAACCAAATGTAAACTGGCAACGACCTAATCACCAAGACGGAGACGTTGCCAGCCACAAAGCAAAACAATCGAGAAAAAACTAGTGAGGAAACTGCACATAGAACTAAAGAGACTATAGAAAGCCATTCGTATGACGATATAGATTGCACTTCAGCATTCCTTATGGTCCTTATCATCCAAGTTTTCGTCAGCAGAGTGGCCGACCAACCTCGTCGTCCTCCCCTATTTGCAATTCTAACCGCTACTGTAACCTTATCAATTATTCCAGCCTTATTGCTTTTTGCAATTTTAGCCTAAACATAGCCCTATTATTAACACAAACCCCCTACCACAACACTAGCCTTAACACTTTACCCTTCCATAGCCCTAACCCCAACCATAACCACAATTTTTCGCCGCTTAGAGAAAAATTTGGACTCAGATTCATCGCTGAAAGTTTATATGAATACACTGATTTGAAATTAAAACCGTCCGTGCCTTGGCTATGAGCCAAAGAGTCCAAGTTACTGCTGGAGCAGTATAACAAATCACCGAACAGGCGTCAATTACCAATAGGAGACGGCTACGGCGGCAGCGACCCTATAGAAATTTCGCTCGTGAGTCGGAAAGGCCGTTTATCGCTCCGGGCCATGTGTGACTTGCTTCCAACGCAAGATATCGCAGAGTGCCAGGTGCCTGAGGAAGAATCTGTCGTTAAAGAAAAACCATGGGCGCGTTTGCTTCCTCTTAAGGGGTCTATCCCCGCCTTGGGTAATTCTTTGTTGGCAAACTTTATTCTCCAGATTTGGTGAAGGATTCCTACACATTTGGAAGAGAAGATAGTTGTGACTTCAAATTTTCCCATAACATGTTCGACAAGTCTGCACCATTCTCAGCCTTCAGCAAGTTGCATTTTCGAATCACAAGGGTAATAATCTTACCTTTTGTTCATTTCCCAAGGAATCGACCTCACAAGGATTGCTTGTTTTCATTCATGATTTGAGTAGCAATGGCACTTTTCTGAACGAAGTAAAAATTGGTATGGCTGATTTATTTCACCACTGTTGTAGGTAAAGGCAGAAAGCAACCACTAAACAACAACGATGAAATTGCTTTGGCGATAAAATCTCTTAAATGTAACCTCACCTTATTTGTCATAGTCTTTTAGGCTTTATATTCTCCGACTTAACTTCAGTCCAGACTGAATTTCCACCAGAGGTTATTTCGAGGTATACCGTGTGCAGAAGATTAGGCCGGTAGGTGCACCCTTCGAAAAAATGAGGTGACTTGTAGTGGTGCCTGTGGCGAAGTCCGGCTTGTTTTTGGTAGGGAGTCATGTCAGAAATATGCTATGAAAATTGTACAAAAGAAGACATTTTCCTTTCTCGCCAAGACTAATGATGTAAGCATTTTCTACCGTTAATATCCTAGAACCTCGTCAACCGTGTTCAGTCCGAAGTGGCCATTTTGATGCGGCTGAATCACGTAAGTTACCTTAATGCCGTATTTTCTGTACGTTTCAAATATAAAAACAGCTTGGTAGGGCAAATTCTTCCCAGCGGATTTGAGGTTTAAAATCGCAGTATGCGGATGCAATTGCATAGGTTAACCTAGGTTAACCGATGTGGCAATTCCAAAATAGCGTTTTAATTGCGTTTAGTGCTATTGGTGCCACGATTTGCGTAGTACGAGCACTTATATGTGACTCCCCACGTGGTCGAGTGCACAAATCCCTTCGAAACTTCTCCAATCACCTGTGTGCTACGAGACGTTTTGTGTAAGAAAAAAGTATGTGTGCCTAAACATCCTATAAACGTTTCTTTAGGCTTCTATTATTTTCTGACTAAATTGTTCCTAGAAAGGCTGTTCTCACGCACATTTAATGGTTAACGGTTACTTCCCCTTTAATTCCAGCCCTGCATTGTGCGCATTTTTGATGTCATCGACACGGACGACGCCTTGTACATGATACTCGAGCTGTAAGTTTTCCACCGTTTTCTATCTTCCACCACTATTAGTGTCGAGCATGGTGAGCTCTTTGATCGCGTCGTGAGTCTTGGGCAACTTAGCGAAGAAGATTCGAAGTTCCTTTTTCTGCAGATAGTTTTAGCCACCAAGGTAACATCCGGATTCTCATGAACCAAGGTTTTAGTACCTTCATGACAATGGAATTACTCACCGGGACTTGAAGGTATTTTTGATGCCAAAATTTCGTCAATATCTGTGTTATATTTTTCTCTCAGTCTTTGCCCATACTTAAATTCCCATCATTGTTCGAATTGCCTGTTCGGGATGTTTTCGTCCATCATTCGGTCACCGCCTTTTCGGCATTATTTCTGCTACTATACCGCAATATGAAGTTTTTGTAATTATTTTATTTCATTATCCTGCAGTT